CATGCGAGAGAACACACCAAGCTGAAGACAAAGGTTTCGAATCAGAGGCAGTGTACACATATTACAAAATGGTACCAAACATGTACCGAATGCCTTGATGCGTCACACCAATACCAACGGTTGCAGAGCAAGCAGATTCAAAGCCTATGTCACATGTATTCGAACTCCATCTCCCCGGGAGAAAGATTGCGGGAGATCTGTCAAAAGCATGGCGAAAGAAAATAAACACTGTAAGGAGATTTGCTTCGCCAAGGTTGTGAGAAACCCCATAGGTCTTTAGCGCATTCTGTTTGGAAAGTATCAACAAATGTGACACCAAGTTATTCAATGACCTTAAATCGAAGAATTCACTTCTAGACACCGAAGATGTGGACACCTGTCTTAACAAATGACTTTTCTGCTGGAACGATCTATGAATGACTATGAATGACTATCTCCAGACAGACGGTCACGCGCCAAGAAGGACCCGAACAGGTCGCGTCCGAACTCAGGCCCCCGGCCTCTCTTGTTTTGCACATCCAGCGGTGCATTGGCCGCGACCAGCAGCTCCACCACCTCTGTGTTACCTTCGAATGCTGCCTGATGCAGCGGGGTGTCGCCTCGGCCCAACCCCAACACACTGCGAGGGCAGGCTCGGGGGCTGCCGTTTTTTGGAGAAACTTCATCAAGGTCAAGGTCCATTTCCGCTAAATCCATTTGAAAGATCGTGAAAAAAACCTTATCAGCACAATCATGACAATCCCCTTTTAATCTTTTTTGCATGCGTTACCTTCAAATGGTAAATCGACCTTGTTCAAAACCAAAGTCGCTTGAAGGAGCTGGCTTTTCTCCAAGCTTCCGCTATATTTGAAAACCCTATGAAAATCCTATGTGGGATTCATCAAAACCCGTGTCGACATATGTCGACTAAATAATCAAAAATCACCAAATATCCATGTGAAAGCATCTTATCTGCATCTTGAATTGTTCGCTGAAGTGGAGAAAGAGTGTTTCGGTTGTGATCGAACGAAGTTCAGCAGACGGTCACCGACCGCAGAGGCCCCGGGCCATCGTTCTTCTGCACGTCCACCTGCGCCTTGGCCGTGAGAAGCAGCTGGACCACCTCCGCGAGGCCGTTGCGTGCCGCAGAGTGCAGCGGGGTCCAGCCTCAGTCCGGAGCCCGGCCTGTGGATGTGCATCCGGGCATCTACCCTACAAAGCTCGGTACCAAGTTGTTGGAGTCGATGTTTGTTACAAGGCCTTTTTCATTCGCTGCATGTTTGATCGGATTGGCCAAAGTCCACATCGCCTATCACTGTATCAAGTTTATCACGGCCATGCAGATATAACAAATCAAATCTGCTGAATCCGCTGAATTCGCTGACTCAGTCTGCACAAACCTATAGTGCCTTGATGCGTCACATAGATACCGCTTGCAGAGAAAGCAGATTCAAAACCTGTCGAATGTGTTCAAGTATCTTCTGAGCGGAAGGCTATCGGGAATACATGGCAAAACCCTGTGTGAAGAGCATGGCGAAAGAAAATGAACATCACATCACTACAGTGTCAGGAGACAGGAGACTTGCTTCGCCAAGGTCGTGAGAAATGCACCGGGTTTCAAGGATGGTTTGCTTGGAAAGTTTCCTGAAAGGACTCAAACTGTCATATTTTTTCCAGCTATCTAAATTAGAAGTGAAGGAATAAATACCCTGACCTTCCAACCACAAGCTTTAACGTTGTGGTTAGTCTAACTGCATGTCTTTACTGAATCCCATCATTTCACTGCTATTCACTGCGTATAGTCATCCTAGGTCCATTTTACATCTTGTGAACTTGTATCATCTTATGTCAAGTTTGTCATAGACATGCGAGAGAACACACCAAGTTGAAGACAAAGGTTTCGAATCAGCCGAGGCAGTGTACACATATTACGAAATGGTACCAAACATGTACCGAATGCCTTGATGCGTCACACCAATACCAACGGTTGCAGAGCAAGCAGATTCAAAGCCTATGTCAAATGTATTCGAACTCCATCTCCCCGGGAGAAAGATTGCGGGAGATCTGTCAAAAGCATGGCGAAAGAAAATAAACACTGTAAGAAGATTTGCTTCGCCAAGGTTGTGAGAAACCCCATAGGTCTTTAGCGCATTCTGTTTGGAAAAAGTATCAACAAATGTGACACCAAGTTATTCAATGACCTTAAATCGAAGAATTCACTTCTAGACACGGAAGATGTGGACACCTGTCTTAACAAATGACTTTTCTGCTGGAAAGATCTATGAATGACTACCTGCAGACAGACGGTCACGCGCTAATAGAAGCCAAACGAGTCGTGTCCGAACTGAGGCCCCCCGCCTTTCTTGCTTTGCACATCCACCGGTGCATTGGCCGCGAGCAGCAGCTCCACCACCTCTTTGCGCGCTGCATCGTGCAGCGGGGTGTCACCTCGGCCCAACGCCAACACACTGCGAGGGAAGGCTTTGAACAAAGCCATTCTCAAAGCCACTGCGAGCCGGTTTTTCTTTCAAGAAACTTCATCAAGCCCCATTTACACTATATGAACCCATGTGAAAAATGGTGAAAGCATCTTATCTGCACTGCATAATCATCCTTTTCTACATGTCTTACCTTCAAATGGTAAACCGAACTTGTTCAAAACCCAAGTTGCTTAAGGAAGCTGCTTTCTCCTCTCCAATTTGGACAAACTTCATCAAAATACCTTTCAACTACAAAATGTGAATATTACCTTTACAAAAAACGTGTCATTTTATCTGCATCTTGAATGCAGGCTGCCACCAAGTGAAGCCAACAACGAAGCGCCAAGGCCAGAGATCCACAGGTACCCTGCAGCTGAGGCCCCCTGCCGTCTTCGTTTTGCACCCCCAGCGATGCCACCTCCACCAGGAGCTTCACCACCTCCACGTGGCCGTCGTAAGCTGCCAGGTGCAACGGAGTTTGGCCTCGGGCAGCCCATGCGGCAGAGAGATTTCTCGCTGAATGTGGAGGAAAGAGTCACAACCGAAACCCGTTGGGATCGAACGAAGTTCACCGGACGGTCACCGACCGCAGAGGCCCCGGGCCATCGTTCGTCTGCACGTCCACCTGCGCCTTGGCCGTGAGAAGCAGCTGGACCACCTCCGCGAGGCCGTTGCGTGCCGCAGAGTGCAGCGGGGTCCAGCCTCAGTCCGGAGCCCGGCCTGTGGATGTGCATCCGGGCATCTACCCCTACAAAGCTCGGTACCAAGTTGTTGGAGTCGCTGTTTGTTACAAGGCCTTTTTCATTCGCTGCATGTTTGATCGGATTGGCCAAAGTCCACATCGCCTATCATTGTATCAAGTTTATCACAGCCATGCAGATATAACAAATCGAATCTGCTGAATCCGCTGAATCCGCTGAATCCGCTGAATTCGCTGACTCAGTCTGCACAGACCTATAGTGCCTTGATGCGTCACATAGATACCGCTTGCAGAGAAAGCAGATTCAAAACCTGTCGAATGTGTTCAAGTATCTTCTGAGCGGAAGGCTATCGGGAATACATGGAAAAACCCTGTGTGAAGAGCATGGCGAAAGAAAATGAACATCACATCACTACAGTGTCAGGAGACAGGAGACTTGCTTCGCCAAGGTCGTGAGAAATGCACCGGGTTTCAAGGATGGTTTGCTTGGAAAGTTTCCCGAAAGGACTCAAACTGTCATATTTTTTCCAGCTATCTAAATTAGAAGTGAAGGAATAAATACCCTGACCTTCCAACCACAAGCTTTAACGTTGTGGTTAGTCTAACTGCATGTCTTTACTGAATCCCATCATTTCACTGCTATTCACTGCGTATAGTCATCCTAGGTCCATTTTACATCTTGTGAACTTGTATCATCTTATGTCAAGTTTGTCATAGACATGCGAGAGAACACACCAAGTTGAAGACAAAGGTTTCGAATCAGCCGAGGCAGTGTACACATATTACGAAATGGTACCAAACATGTACCGAATGCCTTGATGCGTCACACCAATACCAACGGTTGCAGAGCAAGCAGATTCAAAGCCTATGTCAAATGTATTCGAACTCCATCTCCCCGGGAGAAAGATTGCGGGAGATCTGTCAAAAGCATGGCGAAAGAAAATAAACACTGTAAGAAGATTTGCTTCGCCAAGGTTGTGAGAAACCCCATAGGTCTTTAGCGCATTCTGTTTGGAAAAAGTATCAACAAATGTGACACCAAGTTATTCAATGACCTTAAATCGAAGAATTCACTTCTAGACACGGAAGATGTGGACACCTGTCTTAACAAATGACTTTTCTGCTGGAAAGATCTATGAATGACTACCTGCAGACAGACGGTCACGCGCTAATAGAAGCCAAACGAGTCGTGTCCGAACTGAGGCCCCCCGCCTTTCTTGCTTTGCACATCCACCGGTGCATTGGCCGCGAGCAGCAGCTCCACCACCTCTTTGTGCACTGCATCGTGCAGCGGGGTGTCACCTCGGCCCAACGCCAACACACTGCGAGGGAAGGCTTTGAACAAAGCCATTCTCAAAGCCACTGCGAGCCGTTTTTTTCTTTCAAGAAACTTCATCAAGCCCCATTTACACTATATGAACCCATGTGAAAAATGGTGAAAGCATCTTATCTGCACTGCATAATCATCCTTTTCTACATGTCTTACCTTCAAATGGTAAACCGAACTTGTTCAAAACCCAAGTTGCTTAAGGAAGCTGCTTTCTCCTCTCCAACTTGGACAAACTTCATCAAAATACCTGTCAACTACAAAATGTGAATATTACCTTTACAAAAAACGTGTCATTTGATCTGTGTGATTTCTTTTGTCGTTTGCCATCACACCTTGTTATTGAGGACCAGCTAGTTGGCATGTGTGCCATTGGGGTTCAGAGGTCCCCCTTAGATGCCGGGAGTCACTCGTGTTCGCCCTTAGATGGAAAGAGCGCTTGCTTGTGCTGCTTGGGGTTCCTTTGTTACCACCTGTGGGTCTCACAGGTGGTAGCGGAGCCAAAGAGCTCAGCATGGCGACCGTCAAAGAGGAGGACAGAGCGAAGCTTGAGAAGTTCGACGGGACGGACCCTTCGGCTTACAAGAGGTGGAGGCGCAAGGCCGAGTTGATGCTGTTAGCATTACCAAATACCTTTGAGAAGAGCAGGTGGGGTCCAAAGCTATGTGAATATGTGAGTGGAGAAGCTGAAGAACTGATAGAGGATATATCCATATCAGAGCTATGCCAGGAGGGCGGATACAAGCAGGTGTTGAGTGCTCTGGATCAAAAGTATTCCAAGAGGAAAGAAGAAGAAGTGCAACAATACTTGAAGGAATACTTCTACCGGTGCACAATACGACAGAATGAGACGTTTCGACAATTTGTGGTCCGCCTGGAAACCACTTACAAGAAACTCGCAGAGCACGGAATTGAACTTCCGCCTACAGTGAAAGGTTGGATGCTCATGAAAAAGATGAACCTTGACATGACGCAGGAAGCACTGATCTTGACGTCTACCTCGGGAAGCCTTAAGTATGAGGACGTGACTACGGCCCTTACCAAAGTGCTGCCAGAGGGGAAATGCTTGGTGCAGGTGAAAAGCAAGGACATCTTTGTGACTGAGAACCAAGAAGATGAACCACGAGAAGTATATGTACAAGAAGATGAAGCTGCCGATGTGTTCGAGGCGGTGGCAGAAATGGTTCAGGAATGCGAAGGTGAATACGAAGATGCCTTGGATGCCTATGAGACATACGCAGAGATCAGAAAGCGCATGCAGTCCCAGAAGGTGGCGCGGGGGTTCAGGACACCTCCAACTCCACACCTCCATCTGACGGGAACCATGCAAGCAAAGATCCAGCAGATGAAAGACAAGACTCGCTGCCACATTTGTCGAGCACTGGGACATTGGAAAAGAGAGTGTCCAAAGAAAGACAAGGGCAGTGGAAAGGGAACCAAGTCCTATGGCAAGAGGGCTGAAAACATGCCGAAGGAGACCCATGATGCAATGGTAGCGGACTATGAACTTCAAGGAGCACGAGGTTCTGAGCAAGAAGAACTGAGTGACATAGATGCCGAAGCCCTGAAATCGCAGTTTCACGAGGCATTTTTCACCGATGACAGTGTGTCTGAGCTGGAAACCTTGTTAGCTCAGGATGTACAGAAAGGGGGGACCTCGAGCAGTAGCCAGTTCTCCAAAGTTTTTGAATGCAACTTTGCGGACTCTGACGCGCACGGCCTGGAGTCATACATGTGTGATGCGCAAGGGGCACATGATTGTAGTTTGAGTACACACGCGGTACCTGACACTGCTTGTAGGAAAACGCTAGTTGGACAACAGACGTTGGAAGGAATTGAAAATGAATTGGGGCTTAGAGGCAAAAAGGTTCACAGGTTTGATGATGAGAATGTGTTCCGTTTTGGAAATGATGGGTGCTTGAAGACTGTTGAGAGCGTTTTGATTCCTGTGATGTTCAAACATCGGTCAGTTGTCATTCGAGCTGCTGTGCTGCCGGGGAAAGGGGCACACACGCCTCTTTTACTCAGCAAAGAGTTTTTGAAGCAGTTAGGTACGCAGATGGATTTGTCCTCGGCTGTCGTGTGTTTTAGGAAACTTGGGGTTGAAATGGAGATGGGGACTACTCAACGTGGGCATTTTGCTATTCCGTTGTTTCAGTCCACTAAACACGCACACACTGAACACACAAAGCACAGCATGAAAGAAGAGTCAGCAGAAGCTTTTGAGACTCAAGTCAAATCGACCTTGAGTGCGGAACATGTCCACGTCCATGATGAGTCAGCTCAAAGAGGCGTCAGAAGAAAGACATGGAGGAGGAGATGATTCAGAAGGCCAACAACTTGGATCTCCAACCAGATCAGCCAAGCGACGAGCCAGAAGAAGAAGGGCTTGGCAACGAAGAGTTGGAGACCGGGAAACACAAGGGGATGGGCTTCAGCAAAGTGTACAAGGATCACAAGGAGTATGTAGCATGGGTTCGCGAAAATGTGGAGCCCTCCAAGAAGAAGTTCACAGCTGGGATGCTCAAGTTCCGACTGTATGTGGAGGCTCGAGACAAGAAAAAGAAGCAGCGATTGTCACAGATCACCGGGACGCGACCCATGGTGCCCATGTTCCAGGAGAAGGACAACAAGGACAAGGGCATTCGTCGATCCAAGCTGGAAAGCGAGTGGGAGGAGATCATGGATCAGAGCCAGACAGCAAGTCCAGCTCAGAGCCACACCGCACGCTTGCCAACTCAGGAGGACATGCTTCTTCAGATGAAGGTAGTCCAAGAGCAGATGAAGCTCCTGAATCAGACCATTCAGAATGCCACCAACCAGAAGGCAGAGCTGGAAGGTCAGATGATGGAGATGAAGAAGTACATGGAGAAGAAGCAGTGAATCATGGACTGGTCGGAGTGAGCGATCTGAGTGAGACGACATGCATGACTAAGGCAGAGAAGAGGTTTGTTAGAAAGTCTTTTGACAAAATGTTGCATGAAAACAAACAAAGTGTTGATGTCATGACAGTTTGCGAAGCGGCTGCCTCGGAACGGCAGCATGTCATGGAAGTGTTCTCAACGCCTCATATAACTGCCACTGCACAGAAGATGTCTCTTGCTGCAGATTATGCGTTCGATATCAAGGTGGGATGTGACCTCAGAACCCAAAAGGCAAAGGATGAGGTAATTGCGCTGGTCAACAAAACTAAACCTGAGCTGTTGGTGGTGTGTCCACCGTGTAAAATGTATTCGGTTTTGCAAAGGCTTAGGAAACACAGAGGTGAGATATATGAGAAAGCGCTTAGTGAGGCTAGGGAGTTCTTAGCATTTGCCATGGAACTGTGCACACTACAACATACAGCCGGACGAAAGTTCGTGTTCGAACATCCATGGTTTGCTGAGTCTTGGTCTGAAGAATGCGTCAGGACTGTTGCTGAGAAGGCTGGAGTATCATGTGTAAGACTAGACCAGTGTATGTTCAACTTGCGTGATGTTCACTCGGGGTTGCGGTATCGAAAACCTACTGGTATCATGACTAACTGTGAAGAGATTAGGCAACGAGTTGAAAAGAGATGCAATGGAAAACATGAACATGAACCTGTGTTTGGTAGTGTCAACACGAAGTTTGGATGGAAGCGTAGGAGTGAGATGGCTCAGAGATATCCCAAACAATTGGTTCATGCTATTCTTGAGGGGTATGTTGCTTGGAAACAAACGAAACAAACGGAAGCCTTGATTTCCACTGTGTATACTGCTGAAGTGTTCTCAAAACAGGTGGATGAGGCAAAGGTAATCAGTGCTTTGAAAAGATGTCATGATAACCTTGGACACCCATCAAACGCGAGACTCATTTCCATGTTGAAGTCAGCAAACGCAAACGAAACGACTATACGACTGGCAAAAGGGTTGACATGTCCCATGTGTAGAATGAAAGACAGTCCACCGGCAAAGCCAGTGGCCAGGATCAAAAAGGCATGGGAGTTCAATCAACAGATCATGATCGATACTTTCGAGGTTGAAGTGTTGAACAGAAAATTAAAGTTGCTCAATATAGTCGATGAGGCTACTGCCTATCAGATGGTGGCACCACTCTGGCATGGATGTACTGCAACGAATGTGCGGTCTTGCTACAGAAAATGTTGGAAACGATGGGCAGGTGTGCCACTCAGGGTCTTGGCTGACAATGGTAGAGAGTTCGATGCCGAATTTCTACATGGACTAGAGATAGATGGCTCTTATCATGACACGACTGCTGCGTATGCACCACATCAAAACGGGATGACGGAGAGACGGGGTCAGACATGGAAACGTGCTTTTGAAAAGACTTTGGAATCAGTGGCTCCAGCCACCAGACAAGAGGTTGATGAAGTGATTGATCAAGTGATTTGTGCTGTAAACACTCTTCCGAGGGTTGGAGGACATTCACCTTATCAACATGTGTTTGGTAAAGAAAACCGTTTACCCGGGGTTTTGGAACTTGATGTAGGGAATGATGTGGAGAGTTCTGCGCTCGCTGCAGGAGAAAGCATGTACTTGAAAAGGCAGAAAATCAGAGACGCTGCACGTAAGTCGTACATAGAAGCACATGAAGAGGAAAGAATCAATAAAGCAAACAACCATAGAAACAGACCAAGGCGAGGACCATATGAACCAGGACAGCTGGTTTACTTTTGGAGAATGTGGCCAAAGGACAAGAAGGCATGTTGGCATGGACCAGGTACGGTAGTTGGTACTCATGACGGTCATTCCAAAATTTGGGTCGCTAGTGGAATGAAAATGTACAAGTGTAGTCCTGAACAGTTGAGACATGTCACTCATGAACAAGAAGCCATGATCAGACTCCTTCCCGAAGACATGTTGATCATGAAACGAAACGTGCAAGGCAGAGGTTCAGGTAATTACATTGATTTGTCCCAACAAAGTTTCCCTCCGACAGACTCAGATGAAGGAACTGAACATGGAAATGGCATGGATGTAGACTCACATGGTGTCATACGGGGAGCCGAGACGCTTCACGACAACGAGGAGGAGAGACGGGTGCGACCCAGAATTGGCGACAATGACGGTGAGTTGGATGTTGATGATGATATCCGGGACTTATTTGGTGCGGTTTTGGAGGGTCAAGCCAATGAATCCCAAAACAGTACTGGGGATCAAAACGCTAACCTGGAACAAGTTGGGGACCATATGTTGGGAGACCACCAAGATTTTGGGCAAAACCACCAAAGGCGGGTTAGTTTTGATGGGAGTGTCATGGACGAAGAACCACAAGGGGAACCGGATGTCAACACACACATTCCGACTGTTTTGCCAGTAGGTCAGACGAGTGCACAGGTGAATTCTTCGGAAATGAGTTATGGACCTGTAAGGACCACTAGACTGACCACTGCGATGAGACGTGACCTGGACATGTTGGACTCAGGTAGACCGAGCACCCATGCACAAAGAAACACTGGAAGTGGACATGCACATGAGACGCTACTGACGGAAAAACGTAGAGGTAGAAAGGAAGTTTTTGAGCATGAATTGAGGACATGTCACCAGGGTTCTTTGAAACAAGCCAAGGTAAAGGAATGGAGCAAAATGACAGCAAGCAAGGCAGTCAAGGTACTAAATCGAGAAGAGAGTGATGCGATACGAGGTTGTTCCACTTTGAGAAAGCGCATTGTAAAGTCACGTTTTGTTTTGACCAAGGATGATGAAAAACCTTTGAATGAAAACACGGTGATCAAGGCTAGATGGTGTATAAGAGGATATCTTGACCCTGATCTACTTAGTTTAGAAACGGAAGCTCCTACGCTGAGTAGTGAAGGTTGTGCCATAGCTTTGCAGTGTATTTCGTCAAAACAGTGGCTTTTGCAAATTTGTGATGTTGAAGGGGCTTTCCTGCGTGGTGGCGATTTAAGTAGACAGACAGGGCGTGTTTTTGTCGAGCAACCACCGAATGGTATTCCTGGAGTGGAATCTGGAGTCTTGATCGAGGCGCTGAAAACGGTTTATGGACTGGCAGATGCACCACTTGCCTGGTATACTTCATTTACCAAGGCGTTGCAAGGACTGGGATGTCGACAGTCACGCATGGACAGTTGTTTGTACTACGCATACTCACGACATGATCCACATGAGCTGATTGGAGTGATTGCATTACATGTTGATGACATGTGCCTAGGAGGAAACGAAGAATTTGAAACAAGGGTGCTTACACCGCTCAAATCTAAGTATCCTTTCAAACACTGGCACAAGTCAAAAGGCATGTTTCTTGGAAAACAGCTTGAGCAACAGTCTAATTATGACATTCATGTACAACAGACGGAGTATGCGCAAACAATACAGGGTGTCAAGCTTAGCACAGAGAGAAAGAAACAGAGAGATGAAAACACCAATGATGATGAAAAGAAACAGATGAGGGCAGTTTTGGGAGCCATCAATTGGCTCGTTACTGGATCACGTCCTGATCTAGCAGCTGCTTGTTCCCTGTTGCAACAGCGTGTCACGAGTTCAGTTGTGTCTGATTTGTTGGATGTGAATAGACTGGTTTCACAAGTTCATGATCTTTCTGAGCTGACGATAAAGATTAAGAGTATTCCCACTGAAAACGTTTGTTTCATGGCGATATCGGATGCTGCTTGGTCGAATGCACCAGGATTGTTTTCACAAGCTGGTTTTATGATTGCTGCCATGGATAAGAGAATTATGAAGAACACGTGGGGGGATTTCTCTTTGTTACGGTGGAAGAGTTTCAAGCAGGATCGACGAACACCATCCACGCTAGGATCGGAACTCATCGCACTTTCTAGGTCGTTAGCAGAAGGAAGATGGATGAGGAGCATGTGGTTAGAAGCAAACTTTCACGATTACACACTGAGTGAGAACACCAAATGGGAATCTCAGGTACCGATGTGTGCTATCGTGGACAACAAACCGCTGTACGACCATGCAAAGTCGGTCAATGGCAACAACATCAAGGACAAGAGGCATGCTATTGAGATGTTGATTGTAAAGGAGGACCTGCGCACACACAACATACAAATACGTTGGGTGGCTACTTTTCAGATGTTGGGAGATGTTTTGACTAAGAGGGGAGTCTCTGTTGATTTGTTATTGAAGGTGTTGAGCTGGGGTATGTTTACCATCATCGAGGACAAATCAATTCGTCCTAAAAATCAACAAGGTGTGAAAGAAAATCATTTTGGGGGTGTGTGATTTCTTTTGTCGTTTGCCATCACACCTTGTTATTGAGGACCAGCTAGTTGGCATGTGTGCCATTGGGGTTCAGAGGTCCCCCTTAGATGCCGGGAGTCACTCGTGTTCGCCCTTAGATGGAAAGAGCGCTTGCTTGTGCTGCTTGGGGTTCCTTTGTTACCACCTGTGGGTCTCACAATCTGTACAAAAAACGTGTAATTTCATCTGCATCTTGAATGCAGGCAGCCACCAAGTGAAGCCGTGAAGCCAACAACGAAGCGCCAAGGCCAGAGATCCAGGTACTCTGCAGCTGAGGCCCCCGCCAAGCTCGTCTTGCACCGCCAGCGACGCCACCTCCACCAGGAGCTTCACCACCTCCACGTGGCCTTCTGCAGTTGCCACGTGCAACGGAGTTTGGCCTCGGGCAGCCCATACGGCAGAGACATTTCTCCCTGAAGTGGAGGAAAGAGTCACAACCGAAACCCGTTGGGATCGAACGAAGTTCACCAGACGGTCACAGACCGCAAAGGCCCCGGGCCATCGTTCTTCTGCACGTCCACCTGCGCCTTGGCCGTGAGAAGCAGCTGGACCACCTCCGCGCGGCCTTTGCATGCCGCTTTGTGCAGCGGGGTCAAGCCTCAGTCCGGAGCCCGTCCTGTGGATGTGCATCCGGGCATCTACCCCTACAAAGTTCGGTACCAAGTTGTTGGAGTCGAT